TTAGATAATATTCTTATTAAACCCTCTATATGCGGTAACCATCTGTACACAAACCCTAAACCCTAAACCCTAAACCCTAATTCACAATATTTGTGTCTGTGTGTGTATTTGTGTAGCTAGGGGAGATAAGGGTTTAGGGTGTCTTGTTTATTTATTGAGGGTTTTTATTAGGGAGGCTTAGGGCTTAACTATAATATATTTTTATTCTTCTTCTAGGGTTTAGGGTTTAGGGTTTAGATATTAGGGTTTAGGGTTTAGGGTTTACGTACGTTTTAGTTCTTTCTTGTATTTGTGCATGCAATTGACGAACTCTTTGTGTAGTTTGTTGTATTTTATCTTTTGTTTGTCTAAGGGTTTGTGCTGCTGCTGCTGCTGCTGCTGCTGCTGCTGAATTGCTGCTGCAGTTAGATAAAGAAAGACATACATGCAGCCGTTGCTCTTCTCCTCTTAATGCAGATATAGATACAGGTAATGCAGCTAATGGGGGTAGACCCTCTATTCTGCTGCTGCTGCTGCTGCTGCTGTTGCTGCTGCTGTTGCTGCTGCTGCTAGTGCTGTCGTTGTTGCTGCTGTTGCTGCTGCTGCTGTTCATGTCTGCAATTAAGAGAGATTCTGCTGCTGCTTTTTCTGCTGCTGCTGCTGCTGCATCATCATCCTCATCCTCTTTCTCCCCCTCAGCAGCAGCAGCAGCAGCAGCAGCAGCAGCAGTAGATGAAGGTAGTACCTGTAATAGCTCCCTATACACCCCAATTGCTTCCTGTCTCCATAGATCTATTTCCTTCTTTTTTTGGCTAAATATATGACGATTATTTTGTGTCTTTTCTTTTAATTCCCTTAAATTCTTCTGCTCTATTTCTAACTGAAAAAAAAAAACCCTAAACCCTAAACCCTAAACCCTAAACCCTAAACCCTAATTCTGTTGGAGTAAACCCTAAACCCTAAATATTATATCTATTACACAATCATTAATCAGAACAACATTCATAATAATATACACAATATACAGATAACCTGTAAACCCTAAACCCTAAACCCTAATAAAGATATGTGTACTGATTGTGTGTGTAATTAGGGTTTAGGGTTTAGGGTTTATTGTATACTTACTTGTTGTTGTAATTCTTCTATGTCTTGTTCCTCCTTAATAAGTATTTGTTTGTCTGTTTGTATACGTTTGCTGTCTCCTTTTAGCAGCAGCAGCAGCTGCTGCGCTTTATATAGATTTGCTGCTGCTGCATGCATTTGCTGCAGCAGATTAGCAGCAAATAATAATCTTTTCTTCCTAGCAGCAGCAAGGGTTTGTCTTATTGATTTGCATGCAGCAAGCTCTGCTGCAATTGTTGCACATTGTTTCTCTTCTGCTGCTGCTGCTGCTGCTGCTGCTGCTATTCTATCTCTTATACGTGTCTCTTGTGCAGCAGCAGATTGCTGCGCATGCAAATGTTGCTGCAGCAGCAAACGTTTTTCTTTTTCTTGTGTCTCCTTTTCCTCTAACTGTCTCCTTTTTATTTCTTGTTCTTGTTCTTCTTTTCTTATTATATCTATTTGTTCTTGTTGCTGTTTTATTTGCTGCTGCAGCTGCTGCTGCTGCTGCTGCTGCTGCTGCTGTAGCTGCAGCAAAGGTGGACCTCTAGGCACATTACTAACAGAGTGTACATAACTGGTGGGGTTGTAAACACTTTGCTTAATACGGTGTATCTGCATACCCATATAATAAACAATTTCTTTGCTGCTGCATCCTTGCTGCTGCAGTTCGTGTCTTGCTATTTGCTGCATTTGCTGCTCTTGCTGCTCTGTTAGTCCCTCCCTACATATTATACATAAATGTATATATGTATATTCCTCTATTGTCTCCCTTAATTCATTAGGCATAATTAAATAATCACTAAGGAATCCCTCTATACCTGCTGCATGCATTGCTGCTGTTACTCGTGGCCTTTTTCTACCACCACCACCACCACCACCACCAGCACCAGCAGCAGCAGCAGCAGCAGCAGCAGCAGCAGCAGCAGCAGCAGGAGTTAGACAAAAACATTGTATACCTGCATGCGCTAATATAATAAAGTCTTCTTCTCCATCAAGACATAAAAAACTTAATAACTTATTACGTAAGAAATGGCTAGCTATTTGCTGCATGCGTGGATCCCGCACCTGCAGCAGCAGCAGCAGCAGCAGCAGCAGCAGCAGCAGCAGCAGCAACAGCAGTAACAGCAACAGCAACAGCAGCAATAGGAGTACGATTAGATTCATGCACAAGGGGATGCAGAACAGCAGCAACAGCAAAGACACACAACCAGCAGCAGCAGCAGCAGCACCATAACAACAACAACACAACAACAGCAACAGCAACAGCAGCAGGAATACAGCAGCAACAGCAGCAGCAGCAGGAGCAGCAGCAGCAGGATTAAATTACCTTAACAATAGCACCTAGAGGTCCTTGTACAAGTTTATTAAATTTATGTTTATTTAATAAATTAATTCCTTTATTTATTGACCCTATATA